ATTACCTGGACCACCTAAAGCAAAAGAGATATATAGCAAGAAAACGAAACTACCCATCATCGCAACATATAATGTAAATCCTAAGGAACTGACAGGTATGTTGCGACAAATAATAAAAAATGAGCGTTTTACCCTTAATATAATAAACAAAAATAGAACCCATGTCAATGTCTTTACCCTCGAACATTTTCAAGAGACCAAGAAACTATTAGACCTTTCCCAAAAGAGCTATTATACCTACACCCCCAAAGAGCTTAAGCCATACTCCATAGTGATAAAAAAATTACCTCAGCAAATCTTCACAGAAGATGAAGTTAAGAAAGCAGTACAAGAAACCTGCTCCGACCTAAATATCATTAGCGTCAAACCATTTAAAAAGAATTTTTGGCTGGTCCAAATAGAGAAATCAGAAAAAGCCAAAACAATTTTCTCCATTAAAAGTCTGCTTAACTGCAAAATAAAAATTGAGGCTTTCAAAGCCGAAAACAAAATAAAACAATGCCACAACTGCCAACGCTATTGCCATGTCGCAAGCAATTGCAAAATGCAATATAGATGCGTTAAATGCACTGCTGACCACGCCCCTGGGCAATGCAGCATTAAAAAATCCGACAACCCAGCAGAAAGTAACAAAACCCAATGTGTTAACTGCAAGGGTCAACACACAGCAAATGCAAAAATTTGCCCGATTAGACAGTCAATCACTACTAGGATTGAAAATAAGCGAAGTAGCACCGCACAAAAAAACTCTGTGAAAGTTACCAAAGTCACTACAGTATCAGCTGTAAATAAAATCAAAAATAATGTCCCATTCGCCTCGCTTTTTAAAAAAAAAGCTGAGATAATGCCGGATCCCCGTCAGACAGAACTCCCCAAAAACATTGTGGTCAGCAACCCAGCGCTAAAAAAGCACCTCACAAAAAACCTAACCCCAAAACCACAAGCCCAAAGTATTTCGCTTGAGACAATCAACAGCGATAGTGTCCAAGCCTTTGGTAAAGACATTTTCACCTGCATAGACATCATGCAGAAACTGACTAAAAAATACCCCACTAGCCAAGCCCAAGATGAGTCAGATGCTCGCAAAATAAAACAAGCTCTACTGTTAGACTTTCTTATCCAAATCGCACAATAAAAATGACCTCCCTTAAATGCATCTTTCAAAACGTTAATTCACTCATCTCACTACAGAAAAGGCATGAATTTAACCAATTCCTAAATAGACATAGGCCAGACCTCATGCTCATCGCAGAGCACCGCCTAGGCACCAGAAATACTGCAAAGCTATCTCATTACCAATTCATAAGGCAAAATGTGAGAGCAACCCATACAAAACATGCGCAACGCCACCCAGAAAATGGTGGTACGTCCGTCGCTATATGCATTAAAAACGGTATACAGTTTGAACGCATAGATATCTCGCCACTACGCTTCATCGAAGCCGTGGCAATTAAACTCTCATACATAGACTCGCTCAGAAACACCCAAAGCTGTATAGCAGTCTCATTATACAAACGTCCCAAAGACCCTCTTCTTTCTAGCGACATGAATGCGCTACTCAACTCCCTAAACAGTATTGGAAATGGTGGCCAAATAATAATAGGTTGCGACCTAAACGCCAAACACCCCAGTTGGCATGTACCTCACTATAGCCCAGTCCACAAAAATAATGACGGTAAAACACTTCAAAACTGGCTTCTAGGACAACCCAACTTGGTCCTCTGTCCGTCCAAGGAACCTAGTCGTCCCAATAACTCCAACAATCCATCCTCAATAGATTTCTTCATATGCTCTATAGACCTCCAAACAGAAAACAGTTTCCTCTGTGATATAATAGATGAATTCCCATCAGATCACCTCGGGGTAACCCTAAAAATTCAACTAGGCCAATATAAACTTTTATGCACCGACCCAAAAAAAGTCTATAAATTCGATAATATTAATACACATGTATGGAACTCTGTTTTATTAAGACATCTCAGACCAATTGCAAGAACTGCCAACCTGACCCCTCAAGAAATAGACATACACATCGAGGAACTCAATAACGCCCTAAACACTGCACTGGACTCGCCAGATGCTATTCCCAAAAGAACTATACCCCCATCCAAACCCTATAATACTGTAAAACTTAGCGCGCAATGCCTTGCCCTTATCAAACAGAGGCGCATCATCAGAAGATACCTTTTTAGGCGCCAGTACTCACTGTCGTTCGACGACAAATCACAGCTCAAATCCCTAATCACCGACCTCACAGCCCAAATCAATAGTCACATTCACACTAGCAATTTAAGACACATAGAAACCAGCTTGAAGTACATAAGTCCGAGTAAGATCAGCTTAAAAACCCTTAGACGTAGTAATCCAAACCACCAAACAGACGAGCCGTTTAAACACGACATCCGCCTAACAGCCACCGAACACAATGAAATTGACATTAACGTCCCCACCGTTATTAAATCAAAATTCGAAAAAGTCAATGCCCTAGCCTGGTCATTTGAACAAGTCCACAAACAAAATGACAACATGTCTAATGGTAGCCCCGAGCTTAGGCAACACACCGAACGCATAAACAGGCGAGTAGGCACAATAGCACAAAATCCCTTGCAATTGCCCAATTATATAGTAAACTTTGATTCCAGCCGAAGAGCAGACGGCAACTGGGAGAACTCAGAAGAGCTTGGCTTCACAAACGCCAAGCAACTTCTTGAGTGGGTCAAATTAAAAAATAACAAAAAAACCATGGGCCCAGATGGCAGTAGCAATTACCTCCTAAAACACTGCAATATGTTTGTCCTCAAACACCTAGCAGTTCTCTTCAATCATTGCTTCAATTCGGGCTACTTCCCAAATGCCTGGAAGTGCAGCAGAATAACTCCTATACTTAAACCAAAAGCAAACCCACAAAGCCTACAGGGGTACAGGCCAATTTCAATCCTCTCTGCCATTAGCCTTTTATTCGAGAAAATGTTAATGGCACAAATTAAAAAGCATTTAGACTCCCACCAAATACTCAAACCCTATCAGTTTGGTTTCAGGGACAACCTGTCCATTAGCAACTCATTAGCTATCGCAAATAGCTTCATATTTAGTAATATCGCTAGACAACGTGCCACAATTGCCTGTGCCCTTGACTTCGAAAAAGCATTCGACACAGTCTGGACGAACGGACTCATATACAAAATGAACAATACCTTCCGCTTTAACCCAAATACCACACGTATAATTCATAGCTACCTCACAACCCGTTCTTTCTATGTCGCCAGCCCAGACGGCTTAGAACAATCGCTAATCCGCGACATAACCGCAGGTGTGCCACAGGGTTCCCTTTTAGCACCAATATTATATAACATCTACCTTGCTGACCTACCAGCCTTCATACAGATCCCCACCTCAACTTCGACAGCGCGCATCCAGCCGCTCGTCTACGCAGACGATATTCTATTACTATCCTCAGGTGCATGGATAGCAAGCGCAGAAATGGACCTTAATAGATATCTAAACCAATTATGCAAATACTTTGCTAAATGGCGACTTAAGCTTAACGCTAATAAATGCGAGGGATGTATATTCAAGGGTCCAAGACTCAAAAACATATACAAAAACGCTAGGAAATTTAACCCTAAACTCTATATAAACGGCAATACAGAAATCCAAATAAGACCAAAACTAAAATACCTAGGAGTTATATATGATGAAAAACTCAAATTTCAAGAGCACATCGAACAGACCCTTAAGCGAGCAAAAGCCCAACTACACCAAATCCACCATATTTACAAGCCCCTAAATGAAAACCCATCCCACCCAAACGCATATAATTTTCTAAGAGAAAAAAATGTTCTATTTGTCTGCATCTGCAAATGTTGGAATTGAAATTGTTGATTGTTAACTTATCGCTTAATATTTATCAATTACATATTATGAACCTTTAGTTTAATCGCTTTCCAGACTACCGTATAAAAATCCAATTCGATCCAATCTGTTGGAATTGAAATTGTTGATTGTTAACTTATCGCTTAATATTTATCAATTACATATTATGAACCTTTAGTTTAATCGCTTTCCAGACTACCGTATAAAAAATCCAATTCGATCCAATCCAGTTCTACCCATCAGATGCCAGACTACCGTATAAAAAATCCAATTCGATCCAATCCAGTTCTACCCATCAGATGCAATTATCGCAAAATATTTATCAATTACAAAAAAGTTTTGTTTCTACTCACACCCTTCTTCTTAGATTTAGGCTCTAATAGCGTCACTGACAAAATTAGCTGTGAAAAGGGGCACAGCTGGCCGGACTGGCCAGCATTAGCATTTAATTTTCATAATTGTATATATAATGTATTGAATAATTAGAAGAGACACTCGTTTTGTCGACCATTAATAAATAAATAAATAAAAAAATACCTTTCATTTTGTTGCATCTTTATAATTTTAAGAGCGTGTGTGGCCTTGTAATGGACCGTTTGCTATTGTAAAATGTGTACGATCTGCAGCTAGTATAATTAGTAACTGCTTTTGTTCTTTCACTTACGGAATGCTTGGCCAATTCACCGGGCACCAAAAGCCGGACAGCCGTTCGGTTTTTCCGACTTGTAATAGTAGAGCGTGAGCCAAGTGAGAGGCCTTGATAGCAAAATGCTCGAAAATGTTGGTCACAAGGCTGTTCGTTATGACGAAACCAACAGTCCTTTTCAGGACCACCAAAAACGTTTAAATATACAAACAAATTGTTTGTTCAATAATAAAGTTTTTACGTATCAATTAAATACAAAAAGTGTATATTTAAGTACTCGATAGCTTATATCAGTTAAGTAGGTGTCTCCTCTAGAAGATGTGTGCATAAAAACCATTTTTAAGCATAGGGTCAACGGACGTTGTTGGGTCTAGTCCGAATATTGAAATTATACTGCAATTAGCACATAGATGGGGAACCGCTCAATATAATTGCGTAGCTGATTTTTCGATCGATCTCTTTAAAAAAGCACGCTGATGGTCCTGAAAAGGACCGATTGGTGTGATATATAAATCATGTCTTTGCCCATATGAGTGTATATTTTTTAGCCGCCAAAGCCGTATAGGGTACGACCTTGTCTTTTCAGCGCATAAACTACATCCTTGGCTGTGACCGTCTTTCTCTTGGCGTGTTCGGTGTATGTGACCCCGTCACGAATAACGTTTTCCAAGAATACCTTTAGAACACCCCGAGTTTCCTCATAAATAAGACCAGAAATACGATTTACGCCACCACGACGGGCTGAACGGCGGATAGCTGGTTTCGTGATGCCCTGAATATTATCACGCAACACTTTGCGATGACGGTTGTCGCCACCTTTACCCAAGCCTTTGCCAGTCATTTTTCACTTTTTATTTTACTTTACACCACGGAAGCCACAAAGATACTAATGCTAGCTCTTCAGCCAGCGCTTATATTTATACCAAAAATATCAGTTGCTCGAGCGAGTACAATAATCTTCCCATCTCGCTCACACACTACCCTTAAAACATGTTCGGCAACACCCATTACAGAAAGCACGAAAAGCGAATGTATCGTTGTCTTTCAAAGTTTTGTTGAACTCCCTAGATAAGCGATACACAAACGAGTCGCATGATTATTGTGTTTTTAGCCGTGAGTGTGTAAAGTTAGAATTGTGAAAGAAAAATGGCTCGTACCACTAGCTATACAATGCATAGACATGTCTAACAGCGGAATAATCGGATACCGATAAATCGTCAACGACTGAGCCCCATGGGTGTCCGCGACCATTTTAGTGTGCCCAGACAAAGTAAGACTGCTGAGAGTGGCAGCCGAACGCCGGCCTCGAAAGCCGAACGTTCAGTATGAAGCCGCATCTCGCTCAGCGCATAACGTCGCTGCGGCTGATGCCTTTTCATAATATATGTATGTAAGTTTTTAATTCCTTACATCCCAAAAACATACATATGCATGTGCAGAGTATGCCTCGCTCTCACTTATTGATTTGCGCACTTGTGTGCATCTCCTTCTCCCTGCATAGCTTCTCAAAAACCCCGAGATCTACCAACACACATATGTTTGTGTTGTGTGGATGTGCGCACAAGTAGATCGCGGCGAGTTTGCCGCGAGCCAGAGATTTTTTCTTCAATTGTGTGCCCTTTGTGCCTGTGGTGGCCAAAGGCACACACATTCAAATGCTCTATCGTGTATTTCTTCGTCCAGTCAGGCATAATGAGAAGAATCTGATATATTTATATTTATTAAAAACTTAAATGACCTAAATGATATATTTATATATTATATTTTAATTATTTTGTTTACTGTGGAGACCAATTTTGCTTAAAATTAAAAAAAAAATTAAGTCGTATTTCTGCAAGGGTAATTCTTCGTCGGATTGTCGAATAAAGACCAAAAATTGAAAATGTTCAATTTTTTCGACTTGTGCACACGCACACTCTTTCGAGTAAGCAGTTGGGTGATATTATTAAAGGGTTTGGCCTGCTCATGTGCAAAACTCCTATTTTTCATGATTTTTGTAAGGGTAAGGGTACCTGAACGTTGGCATAAGTGCATGATAGCTCTTTGGGCCTGCCAAGCACACACACCTACACAGTTTTCTATATGGATAGAAGCATTTATGCGTTTGTGTGCGTGTAGGTTGCCTGCCTGCCTGCCCGATGCAAATTTGACCAAATTTTAAGTTTTTGGCATTTCTGAATTTCGTGCTCTACACACAGACACACACACACACACACACAAATTTGTGCGAATGAGCCGATCAAGGGTTTGTCGTGAGACAGAGATATTTTCATCAATGGGTGCGTAAATTTGGGCGACGGTGGGCTTGCGGCAGCGTAAGGCACAAATGTGTACAGGCAACGAAAACAGGTGAACCGCACTTGCCGCTCGTTTGCACATGGTTTGATATGGATGCAGACGCATGCTGCACATTCTTATCGTTAATTGCCTGCCATAAAACCCTTTAACCCAAAATGTTTACTATGTCAAAAAATACATAAAAATATCACTTGCATTTTTTCCATATCAAAGTGAAAACGAGCGGCAAGTGCGGTTCACCTGTGACACAGAGATTGTTTTCATAGAGTGCAAACGCGTTTTGTAACTGCTCCGTGAAATAAACAAATAAACCTGTGAAATTAAAGTGAAGTTAGTGCACGTGTGCAGGGAACCGAGACAGGCCTAAGACACCAAAAGGTGCGTGGTGGTACTCACTGCGAAGCCCGTGCAGACCATTCCTGGGGTGGCGTCTACAGTTCCACGATCCAGGCGAGGTTAGTGGAGGCGTCTACTTGGCGTGTTTGTGCGCTTTTGTGAGTTTTACCACTCAAAAGTATAAGCCGTCTCGCGAAGCTATTTGTGCAGTTGGTTGCATTCACTCTAACAGCTGTTAGTAGTGTTAGCTAGAGCAGTTCACAACCAGCTGATCTGCACTATAGAGCCAGCTGCCAAACTGCGTAGCGGAGACATCAACCAGGAGATAAGCTGTAACTGGCAGAAAGTACAGCATACTTTCGGGCTTACGCTGTTCTTGCTAAGCAGGTAAGGTAATATCGGTGCTCACTACAGGCTCCAGTGCAAAAAAGGAGCAAAAGGTCGCGGAACAGACCAATTTCCAACCCCCCCGCCGCGGCGGTGCCCATAAAAACGGGGCTCTGGTGACCGAGTCGGAGCGGTAACTCCCAGCGGTCAATAGCCTGAGGGAAACCTTTGGCCACCGAGGGACTTTCCTGTAGAGCCCTGATAGTTAGAGCAGGTGCCCATACAGAAAAATGGAGGGTGAGCTGCATGCCCTTGCGCGCCGCTCTGCGCTACAGCGATCACCGCCACACCAGGCGGTCACGCCAGTGCAGCAAAGAGTGGCTGCGTCGTCGCCGGCAAAAGCGAGTGAGGAGCTGCCAAGAACGCTAAGAGGTACGATCGAGAAGATGGGATTAGTCCTAAACGGCTTAACGGCGCTGTTCAACGGACAACGCCACATTAACGGGCTGATGCGAGAGGAACTCGCGAGAGTAGAAAGCCTGCAGAAGATGGCGCTCAAGCTCTGTGCGCCGGAAACGAAGTGCGACGAGGCGCAAACGACGCCGTCATTAGCCAGACGTGCGGAGCCGAACGTGCTAAGGACGCGCCCAACGAAGCTCAGGGGCCAAAAAGAGGCAAGCACGCCCAAACGGCCGAGGGATGGCATGCCAGAGCAGCGAAGAACTCCCTCCAAGAAGGCTAAACGCCAGGGTCAAAACCCAGCGAAGCAGGCGGTGCTCACGCAACAAAAGACTTCTGCTGCGCCTCAATAGGAAGCCGGAGCACTTCGCAAATGAGCTGCCAGAAGCTGTGGGAAAGGCCTTGGGTGACCGGGCGGTAGTAAGAACGCTGACCGAAACGTCCCAGGTGGAGATCAAGGATGAGCTGGCGACTAAGGAGGAAGTGCTCGAAGCGATTAAAAGTGCCTTACAAGACGTCTTCTTGTCGATTGAAGCGATCAAATCGCCACAGTTACTCTCCAAAAGCCAGGACGCTTGTCGAGAAGGCCAAGGTGAGGATCGGATGGGTTGTCTGCCGTATTCGTGCAATAGACCAACCAAAGCGATGCTTTAATTGCCAGGGTTTTGGGCACATTGCAGCGAACTGCACCAGCGGGGACGATATGAAAGGCGCATGCTTCAGATGCGGGGATACAGGCCACAAAGCAAAGAGCTGCTCCAAGCTACCAAAATGTAGCCTTTGCACACGGAAAGGAGAAAAGTCAACGGACCACGCTACAGAAAGCTTTAAATGTCCGGCGTATCGCGAGGCAGTACACAAAATGAAATGTTAAGGTTACTTCAAATAAACCTTAACCACTGCATAGCTGCTCAAGCCATCTTGGAGCAGACTGTTAGGGAGATGCGCATTGATATTGCCATTATCAGCGAACCTCACCACCGAGAAACCAACTGCCCGAGAATATGGACCGAGGATCAGGATGGAAAGCTGCGCTCTGGGCATGTGGCGACCCATCGACATCGCTGACAAAAACAAAGTCCTTTAATGGGTTTGTACGCGCACAATAAGGCAGCCAGTCATTATTGCAGGTGACTTCAACGCCTGGGCAGTGGAATGGGGCAGCCAAGCAACTAACGCAAGCTCGTCACTTTTCGGCTCAACAAAATGGCAACTAAGCGACGTATACACCGCAAGCGACCACTCCGCAATAATATGCACGATTGGTGAAGGAACTGCAGCCAGCACGAGAAGCCTAAGTCGGAAAGCTTACCGCCTGGATACTTTCGAATGCAGTCCATTCGCTTGTCACTGCTGGCAACGCAGAGAGAAGAGCCTCCCAAATGGCATGCCAGCTATCGCGTGCCTGCGACGAGAGCATGCAAACCCGAAAAACGTTTCGGCGCCACCATGTACACACGTACTGGTGGAACGAAAATATTGCCGAAGCACGGCGGAGCTGCATACAAGCATACAAATATGTCGTTAAAAGACTCTACGCCGGCAAACAAGCGCAACCTTCTGACCCAAGTGAGCTGAAGTTGATTGTGGAAACGCTATTCCCAATCAGACCCGACGTATTACATACGCAAGCCAGCCCATCGAGCCACGTGGCAGCCATGCCGTCTCTCATCGACGAAGTCTCAATCGAAGAGGTGCTGACGATCGCCAGAAGCCTAAAGCCCAGTAAGGCAGCGGGACCGGATGGAATCCCCAACCGAGCGCTGAAACTAGCCATGTCCTTGCAACCCGCGCAGTTCGTGCAGCTGTTTAACATGTGCCTGATGGAGAGAACTTTCCCCACAATATGGAAACTCCAAACGCTTGTTTTATTACCGAAGCCGCCCGGCGACCCATCGTCTTATAGGCCGATTTGCCTCCTGGACACGTTAGGCAAAGTGCTGGAGAAGCTAATCTGCAACAGGCTCCAGGCAGCTGTTGACAACAATGGTGGCTTGTCCCAAAGCCAATTTGGTTTCACCAAGGCAAAGTCTACAATAGACGCTCTGGAGAAAGTGGTCGGCATAGCAACAAACGCCATCCAAAGATCGAAAAAAGTACTGCCTCATCGTCACGCTGGATGTTAAAAACGCCTTTAACACAGCCAGGTGGGACAAAATATTGGATGCACTGGCAACGTTCCGCGTCCCATATTATCTTCAGGAGACGATACGCAGCTACTTTACTGGAAGATTGCTGCAATACGACACCGCAGACGGCCCCAATACCCATCAAGTGACCGCTGGAGTGCCCCAAGGCTCAGTTCTAGGACCCCTCCTCTGGAACATCATGTACGATGGCATCCTCCGACTGGAACTCCCGATCGATACAAGTATCATCGGCTTCGCAGACGACGTGGCCCTTGTAGTCGTCGGCAAGGAACTGAAAGTCGTAGAGGAATCGTGTAACCAC